AGAAAAGTGAAAAACACTTTTTCTGCCATATCAGCATTTTGTGTTTAATAGGTATACATTTTGAACAATTTAGGTATTCAATAGGTACTAGCCCTAATTAAGATGTTTAAGTGAAATATACGAACAACTTTAAGGGAATGTAATTGACTTTAAGTCTTAATTAAAATAGAATAAAAGAAAAAAGTTTGGAATAAGAAAAAGTAAAAACAAAAAGATAGTGGATCTACTTTATAATTTTGCTTGAAAAAAGTTAACAAAGTATATTAACAGTTGTCAATCTTACATTTTTTTATAAAGACAGATCACATACATTTGTCTTTCCGTCGAATATTCGAACATAATTCATTATTTTCACCGTCCAACAATATTTGTTTACTATTGACTTTGCACATTTCTTAGAAACTATAATTAAAAAGGTAATTTTATTAATTATTCATTAATATTATAAAGTGGACCAGTATTGTTAGACATCCCAAAATAGTATAGTTGGACGAAGGGAGTAATTTCTCTTTCTCTGTTTAAATTTATATGACACTTTTCATTTTTCGAAAATCAAACAGTGTAAGTTTGACCAAAATTTTATGCATGTGATCTTCATATTTTTTTGAAATGAAATTTATATATTTGTAAACTACGTAAAAATACTATAAATTATTATAATTAATAATTCAAAATATTTAAAAGATATATGAAAATTACGGTCAAAGATAGATTTATTTAACTCTCGAAATTCAAAATATGCTACATAAATTGAAATCGGGAGAATATTTATTTTCTCACAAAATAATTGTCATATGTCGAATTCAAGTAGAAATCATGAAGAACAACATTTCTCCATTGATGAACATGAAGCTGAGATTCGAAGCAAAAACAGAGAATGGAGTTTGTGAAACTGGAAAATAAAAATTGTATTGCTTTAGATGATCACACTGTATATATATATACAATAAGAACTGGGAAGCTTCTAGAAATCTCGACTAACTAACTTTAACGGAAAGCTAACTAACTGATGACTAATCCAATTTACACTTGCATAATCACAATTTATCTCAACACCCCCCTCAAGTTGGAGGTGAGGAACTCACAACCAACTTGTGCAATATGTTGGAATGTTTGGTACTGGGCAGGGCCTTGGTCAAAACATCAGTAAACTGACTCTCAGTTGGAATGTAATGGAGTGTAATGAGCCCTTCTTGAAATTTCTCTCTAACAAAATGGCAGTCCACCTTGATGTGTTTTGTCCTCTCATGGAAAACAAGATTCTTGGCTATGTGAACAGCTGCCTGGCTATCACAAAAAACAGTTATAGGCAAGATGCATGTCAAGTTCAGCTCTGTCAATAATTTTTCCAGCCACACTATATCTCCTATCACCTTTCTGATGGCTCTGTATTCTGCCTCTACTGAGGACAAAGATATGGTTGTTTGCTACTTAGATTTCCAGCTAATGGGACTGTCTCCCATCAATACTACATAACCACTTACTGATTTCCTTGTATCAGGGCATGCAACCCAGTCTGAGTCACAATAAGTTGTGATTGAATAGTCTGTATTATTGGACAAGTGTATGCCCAAACATGGATCACTTTTTAAGTATCTTAGAACATGATATGCATCTTTCAGATGTGGTTCTCTGGGATTTTGAAGGAATTGACTAAGGTGCTGAACACTAAAAGTTATGTCCATTCTGGTATTGGTCAAAAAATTTAGCTTCCCAACCAACTTTCTGTAGTGTGTGGGATCTTTCAGCAATGTACCCTCACCTACTTTAAATTTGACTGTGGATTAAAGGGGTGACAGGACAGGTGTATAATCTGAACAATCAAATTCTTTCAATAGGTCTATAGTGAATTTTCTTTAAGAGATCAACACTTCAGAATCCTGATATAAAATTTCCAAACCAAGAAAATATTGAAGTCTGCCCAAGTTCTTGATCTTAAACTCATTGTGAAGGTAACTCTTTAAGGAAGTAATCTCTTCAACATCAGTACCTGTCAAGATGATATCATCAACATAAATAGCAACAAACACCAAAGAAACTCCAGTTTTCCTGAAAAATAGAGAGTAGTCACTCTCTGAATGAGAATAGCCTCTTGAACACAGAACTTGTGCAAGTTTATCATACCACTGTCGACTTGCTTGTTTCAGCCCATACAAAGATTTCTTGAGCTTACAAATCAAACATGTGTTTCCTGCCATGAGGCCTGGGGATGTGTCCATATACACCTCTTCATGCTAGTCTCCATGAAGAAATGCATTATTTACATCCAGTTGATACAGATTCCATCCTTTCTTGACAGCAATACATATTAAAATTCTGACTGTAGTCATTTTAATTACTGGAGAAAATGTCTCATTATAATCAATCCCAGTCTGCTGAATGTAACCTTTCACAACAAGCCTAGCCTTCAACCTTTTGTTGTGTCATTAGTCTTATGTTTGATCTTGTATATCCACCTGCTCCCAATTGCCTTCTTCCCTATGGGTAGTTTGACAAGATCTCATATGTTATTAACATATAAGGCTTCAAACTCTGATGTCATTGTTGCCTTCCAGGCAAGGTCAAGTAATGCTTCTTCATATGAACATGGCTCAATGTCATGACAAAAACTCTTAACCATTTGTTGATTTCCTTGGTTGGGACTTGTGAGGGAGTGCAAGGTTAGAGGATGAGGTTGAGGATTTGTGTTGGAAAGAAGGTAAGGTACATTCATATTCTTTAAGGTAGGCAGGAATGTTGTGTGGTCCACTGGATCTTCTAGGGTTAGGAGGCTGGCCTGGCTGTTGCGTAGTGGTAGTGTTTGAATAACATGGGAGGTTTTGGTCAATATTTGGTTGTAAAGTGGGAACCAATGAATGATCAGTGTTTGGTAGTGGTGAAAGTTCATTGAAAGGTGCATATGCAGGCAATTCATTTACAGTGACATCAAAAATGGCATCATTGTCCATCACAGGTACTTTGTTAAAAATGTCATTAGTGGAATTCGTGGAATTGAATACATTCAAATCAGTATGTAAAGTTTGTAGCACAGTATCAAAACTAGAATCAGATTTAGGTAAAGCAAAAGGAAAAATAATTTCATAGAATTTTACATCCCTGGAAACATGTATTTTTGTGGTACTTAGGTCTAGAACTTTATATCATTTTGTGTTGCAGAGGTATCCAACAAAAATGTGAGGTGTGGACCGTGGATCAAATTTGTCTTTATATGCCTTTAATGTAGGAAAACATAGACATCCAAGAGTTTTGTTATTTAATACTGAATTGGGAATTCTATTTATTCAGTAGGTGGGTGTCAATACACACTCCCCCCAGTATTTGGTTGGAAGTTTGGACTGATAAAACAGTGATCTAGCTACTTCTAAAAGGCGTTTGTGTTTCCTTTCCACCACACCATTTTGCTGTGGTGTGTAGGGACAAGTTCTTTAGTGTATGATGCCTTTGGCTTTGAGGTAAGCATTGGTTTCATTGTTAGTGAATTCTGAACCATTGTCAGTCCTTATTAACTTGACAGTGGTTTTGAACTGGTTCTCAACAAGAGATATGAAGGATTGCATAGTTTGAAGGGCGTTGCTTTTGCAGCTCAAAAGGTATGTCCATGTTGATATACTGTAGTCATCAACTATTGTTAGAAAATACTTGTAATTATTGTGTGTGGGAACATGATAGGGTCCCCACAAATCTATATGTAGAAGGTCAAAAAGGTTGTTACTAAAGATAGTGGGCTTAGTAGGAAATGGGAGCCTAGTTTGTCTAGCCATGGGGTAGACAATGCAGGTGAAGGGTTGTTTGGGTGAAAATTATATGGAATGTTAGAAATACCCTTCATTTCACAAATGGTATATATCCTAGCCTATTGTGCCACAAGTAATCAACATTGTTTCTATGAGACATGCAAGATATAATAAAGTTGTTTAGTGTAGAAAAAGTAACATTTGAAGCACAATTTTGAAGTACATTACCATTACTCAAACATGTGTCATTACAAGTGCTTACAAAAGTGTGATGAGATAAACTACCAGAATTATTGTTGCAAAAAGTAGTAGCAATGGGTGAAATAACAGAACAAGGTGAACTATATGCAATGACAGAAGTTGATCTAGTGGAAACAGAAGTAGAACATGAAGTGTGACATTTTGCACACAGAAAATAGAGTCAATTTTGTGCTCTACCTATCTCCACAGGGCTCTTCTGTGAAGGGCCCTGCATCAAACAAAAGGAATTAGTAAAACTGACCAGTCCTTTTAGATGAGAAACCAAACAATAGACTGAAATTAGATTGAACTTAAAACTAGGAACAAATAACACTTTATGCAAAGTCAGCGATGGATTTAAACATGCATCACCAATTTCTGTCACTTTTACCTTGTAGCTATTTGGAAGTGTAATTAAGAATGGATATGGTAAAGGTATGAGGTTTGTAAGTAGGAATTTTGTAAAGGTCATATGGTGTGTGGCTCATGAGTCTATAATCCAGGAATCAACATTAAGTTTTAAGCATTTACAAAACAGATTGCCAATATCAGAAATTGAAAAATAACATACCAAAATACCTGCAAAGTTGACAGCTCCACCATTGAAGTTACTTGCATCCTCCGTGTAATGCTGTTAGTATTGGTGCCTCCTTGAACTTAAATGTGATCCAATAGGTTCACAAGTTAATTGAACTGCTGCTTGGTTAACATTGGACTTGACTATTCATGCAATTTTCCTTTGCCTTTTCCCACATCATGACCTTTCTCAAAGGTATCTCCCAACATATCTTCAGAAAAACCATTTGCACTAGCTGTTGTTCCTGCATTTCTACCTTTGGTGAACTTAAAATCTGGAGGGAAACCATGAAGCCTGTAACACTGCTCTGGTGTGACCAGTCCTCTTACAATAATCACAAAAGAGATTTGACTTGTTTGAGGGCCTGATGGTGCCCACATTGTTTTTATGAGAAGTATAGTTGGTTCTGAAACTAGAAGTAGTGCTAGCAGCATTCACATGAAAGGAGCTTAGTCCATATGAGGTTTGACTTCCCTTTGTCTCTCTTCTTGAAAAAGGATAGAAAAGGCTTGGGCCATAGTAGGTAGTGGGTTCATCATTAATATGCTTCCTCTCACAATAGTATATACCTCATTTAGTCCCATAAAGAACTGAATTAGTCTCCTGTCAAGTTCAGCTTTGTGCATCTTCGACTTTCCACCACATGTGCACAAACATGTGCATTGTGAATTAGTGTCCAAAGTGCTAAGCTCTTCCCACAACTTTTTTATCCTAGTGTAGTACCCAATTACATCGAGATTCCCCTGACTAAGATCACTGAGTTCACGTTGTAGCTGATATAATTTTGCTCTATTTGGTTGATTATACTTGTCCTCCAATTCATCCCAAAGTTCTTTTGCATTATCAACATACTGCAGACTGTCCCTGAGATCTTTAGACAGAGAATTCAAAATCCAAGACGTGACCATATCGTCACATCTTTCCCATTGAGCAAAACCAGGTGAATCAAGAGGTGGCTTCAACACCTTGCCGTTTATGAACCCAGTTTTATTCTTTACAGACAGTCCTCGAAGAACAACTCGTCTCCATGAACGATACCCAGATCCATCGAAAAGGACTGGAACAATTGTGGATCCAACACTTTCAGATGGATGAACATAGAACACACTAGTCAGATCTATAGGAACTTGAGTGGGTAGTTGATTTCCAATAGAGGTCCCTTCCTGAACACCATTTGATTCCATAATGTTCCCAAAAAGTGAGTAATTGACGACGCAGAAAAAAAGAAAGAGGAAAAAGAATCGTGGAAGATGAAGAAGAAAGCCTTACGGCTCTAATGCCATGTCGAATTCAAGTAGAAATCATGAAGAACAACATTTCTCCATTGATGAACATGAAGCTGAGCTTCGAAGCGAAAACAGAGAATGGAGTTTGTGAAACTAGAAAATAAAAACTGTATTGCTTTAGATGATCACACTGTATATATATAAAATAAGAACTAGGAAGCTTCTAGAAAACTTGACTAACTAACTTTAACGGAAAGCTAAGCTAACTAACTGATGACTAATCTAATTTACACTTGCATAATCACAATTTATCTCAACATCATATCCTCCTTGTAGGTATTTCATCTTCAATTTTCGTGGGACAATTTAATCTAATATGAAATTTCACAATCTTATATTAGAGTAGACAAAGATCTAGGGGTTAGGTTTCACAATTACATATTTGGATTTTCACCCAGGTAAAAGAGAGTCTGACCCTTCGGGGTGGCCCAATGGTTTGGGCTTGGGACTTCCATGTTGGAGGTCTCAAGTTCGAAACCCCTTCTTGCCAGCGAAAGTTTGCCTTCTGGATCGAGCTCGTCGCACCGAGTTTGCCTAGTGTGGGTTACCTCTCCTATGTGGTTTGCGAGTTATTGCATAGAAGTGGGGGTTTTATCATGTGCATACCCAAAGGGTAGCGGCTACGGGTTTCTCTTGTCATAAAAAAAAAACAAGAAACAAATTTGGTTTGTTTACCAAATTGCCTGTTAGTGTTTACTTTTGATTGATTTTTCTTTGTAATAAAATGTTAATTGAGATTCAATAAAGATAAAATGGAGATAGTGTTATAAAATAGTTATCAAAATATCTTTAAAAAAAAAGATATTACATAAATTGGAACAAAAAGAATAATCTCTGTAAATTTTAAATACTTATCTGGACACATAATTATTCACTTTATTTGAAAAATTAGTATTTGATCATAAAAAATTATATTACAAAAACTGTAACAGCTTATATTTACTCGCTTTCATATTCCTTCCCTGTCAAAATATTTCTCGATATTTGCTTCTCTAGATTTTCAACTACTTGAACTTTGATGACTATTATTTTAAATTATACTTTTTCATGATATTATTGATATGAAAAGAATTATAATTTATAAAACTTCTCAAATAACTTTTTAAATATTCAAATTTTAATTTCTAATGTATTTTATTAATTTAATTTATGAATTTTGTTTCAAAATATACAAAAGATAAAATATGGCATAGAATATATTTCTTGCCTAAATAATGTTGGTAAATGGTAAATCAAAATTTCACAATCAACAGGTTGGGTTGAGACTTGAGAGAACACTTATCTCTCCACATCAACAAGCTGTCACCCATTTCGATATGGAGCCATCTCCACTTTGAATTTTCCTTTAATAAGTACAACGAATAGAGTAATCCTTTTAGGATAAGTGCAAAAATTGAAAATCCCACTAGACTTAAGATATTTCATTTTATTTATAAATATTAAATGTCATAAAAAATACTAAACTTTTACAAACGGATACTAAATAATAGGATTATTTATATAAATAATATAATTTATTTGATTAATTACACTCGTAAGTGTTACTTTATTTTTATTATCATATATGACATAATTTTAGCTTTAATAACCATTTGATATAAATTTGTATTAAAATTGTATATTAGGTGAAGTTCTTAAATTTTTTATTAAAATCGTATCAAGACTGTATAAATATAAATAATTGGTGGTCTGATGGTGGTGATTACGAAAAAGAAAAGGTGAAGCTCTGAAATCTGTATTAAAATTGTATATAAATATAAACAATAGTTATAATACAATTCGAATTCGATATTATACACTACTATAAATTCGAAAGTTATTATTCCCTATAATACATTTCTAACAACGTAAATTAATTTAAATAGAACCGAAATATTTGAAATTCACGTATAATACTTATACTATTTTATTTTATTTTAATTTAAAGAGGGCCAAGGGCCCTTAATTTATTAATAAATAAAAACAAAAGAAGAGTCGGTACAACTCTTAAAGAAAAACCAAAAAGAAAAACAATACCCAGCACCTAGACACAAACACATAAATTTTTTTCATATTTTTCCTTTTTTTTTTATTAATAAATTACTAATTTTCGGGATTTGCCCAAAAAATATAAAATTTAAAAAAATTTGTTGAAATTGTTGAATTTAAGGTTACTATATTTATTTGTGAATTTTTAGCGTTAATTTTATATTTTTCATGCTTTTCATATTTTTTATTAATCAATTGCTCATTTTCGGGATTTATTAAAAAAACAAAATTTTAAAAAAATTATTGAAATTGTTGAATTTAAGGTTACTATATTTATTTGTAAATTTTTGGCGTTAATTTTATATATTTTTTCATATTTTTCCTATTTTATTAATCAATTACTCATTTTCGAGATTTATCGAAAAAAAATAAAAATTAAACAAAATTGTTGAAAATGGGTCGGATAGTTTATTTAAAAGGGGGGTTGATTTATGGGTCGGATTAGATGTTTATGGATCCGAATTTTTTAGGGGCATAATTGATCCCTTTCCATTTTCATATAAATGTCATGTGGTAAGGTTAAAATGACATGGTAATTCCATGTGGCATTTAAAGAAATGAAAAATGAGCTGGATATGTCCAGCAAACCAACTAACGCCCATAAGGGCATATCTATGCAAAAAGATGGATGGTGAGAGTATGAGTGAGCCAAACTTTAAACAAACGATATATTTAGACCTTTTCTAATAGTTTAGGGGCATATTTGACTCTTTTCCCTTCTAATAATTATGGTTAAATGCGTAGTCAAACTTCACCTATAATAATTGTAGAAATTATTTAAAAATCTATGGTCAAAAAATAAAGAGATCTCAAAAATAAAAGAAATATGAGTACTTTTAAAATGTGATCACATTTTTTTCAAAATAATGGTCAAATAAAAGAAGAAGAGAGATCTGGAAAATAATAGAAATAAATATTACTCCCTCCGTTTCACAAAGAGTGATCTGATTTGTTTTGGCATAAAGTTTTAGAAAATGAAGAAGACTTTTGAATTTTGTAATCCTAAATTAAAGTTATGTCAAATATACATAATTGTCTTTCAATCTTGTGGCTTTACACATCAACGTGAAAAGTAGAAATTATAAAATTATAAAAAAAAAAGATTCATTCTTTTTGAAACAGACTAAAAAGAAACGAAAGTTGTCCTTTTTGAAACGGAGGAAGTACTTGTGTATGATACTCCGCATGTTGTTCCCATAAAAAGAGGCCACTCCTTTAATACGCTCCACTTTGCTCTCTCACTTTTCTTCTTTTCGCTTCCCCCACCCCATCCCAATGGATTCTCTCACTCTCATTTGTACCGCCGCTCTTCTCGCCGCCGGCGGACTTTACTGGTTCATTTGCTTTTTTGGCTCCGCCGAGGTTAAGGGTAAACGGGCCGTCCAACTTACCGGCGGCTCCATCGATAAAGAGAATGTCCAAGACAACTATAAACAGTACTGGTCTTTCTTCCGAAGCCCTAAGGAAATCGAAACCGCCGATAAAGTCCCTGTATTCGTAGATACATTCTATAATCTCGTTACTGATATTTACGAATGGGGTTGGGGTCAGTCTTTTCACTTTTCCCCTTCTCTCCCTGGTAAATCTAACCGTGAGGCTACTCGTATTCACGAGGAAATGGCCGTCGATCTATTAGGTGTGAAGCCCGGGTCCCGCATTCTGGATGCTGGTTGTGGTGTGGGCGGGCCGATGCGGGCTATTGCGGCCCATTCTAAAGCTAATGTGGTTGGAATCACCATTAATGAGTATCAGGTGAAACGAGCGAGGATGCACAACAAAAAAGCAGGGCTCGATTCACTTTGCGAAGTTGTTTGCGGGAATTTCCTGCAAATGCCTTTTGCAGACAACAGTTTTGACGGAGTTTATTCAATTGAAGCTACATGCCATGCTCCTAACCTTGAAGAAGTGTACCAGGAGATCTACCGGGTGTTAAAACCTGGATCCCTGTACATTTCTTATGAATGGGTTACAACGGAATTGTACAAAGCCGAAGACCCGGAACATGTAGAGATTATCCATGGGATTGAAAGGGGTGATGCTCTGCCAGGGCTGAGAACCTACAAGGATATTGCTCAAGTTGCTAAGAAAGTGGGTTTTGAAGTGGTGAAAGAGAAGGATTTAGCAAAGCCCCCATCACATCCATGGTGGACAAGGCTGAAAATGGGGAGAATGGCCTACTGGAGAAACCACATTTTGGTCACAATTCTTGCATTTCTTGGAATTGCACCAAAAGGAACGGTTGATGTTCACGAGATGCTGTTCGTGACTGCTGATTATTTAGCTCAAGGTGGTGAAAAGGGCATTTTCTCTCCAATGCATATGATTCTCTGTAGAAAACCTGCAGCAGAGTAAAAACCCAAATCCAAATCCAAATTATTGCTCTAGAGATTGACCATGGAGGTTAATTTCACTCTGTTGTCCCTTCCTTCCATTTTAGCTTTTGTTTTCTTATCGAACGAATTGTTGTTATTTTCCTTTGTTACTTGTAGTTTCGATCTATCTCTTTTTGTTCTTGTTTCAATCTATAAACTAGAAAAAGAACCATCTTTATTTGTTAACCACTTGACTTAATTACTAATCAATTATTACGCTTTCTGTTGATGCGTGGATTTGATCAGACATTTTTTTCTTAGTCTCTGATCAGATTGTTGTCGTATGTTTTGGAACTTCTGCACATATTATGTGGCACTTAATTATTTGACAGGACATCGCATGTGATGTTGTTAGCTGTATGATCTACTTTTTCATTATTCCCTCTAGCTTGTGGTCCTTCCACGCCAAATATGATTCATCAAAAACAATATTTTTACAAATTATCGATATGAAGTAATAAGAGAAATTGCGTACTGTTTCAAAAAGAATGTCCTCCTTTCCTTTTCAATGTGTTTCAAAAAGAATGACTTTTTTTTTTTTTGATAAGATTTTAATTTTAGCTTTTCATGTGACATGTTTAAGGCCACAAAATTAAATTGTTATTTTATACCTTTGATATAACTTTAATTTAGGATCACAAGATTCAATTTTTTTTTTATTTTCTTAAATTCCGTATCAAGTCAACCTAGGTCATTTTTTGTGAAACGATGGAATATCTTTTTCAGAAACTCGATCATGGCTATAGTGGGTCAAGTGCAAGCTGTCTATAGTTTTTAGATTGCGAGATGTCGAGTGGACGGAGACTTCCAGATCAATATGGAAATTTGAATATGATTTTGAAATTGCTGAATCTGGGGTCCACAAAACAAAGTGGGTGCAAACTTAGGAATCAAAATTTTATAAGTTGATTTTTTGTTTCACTTAAAATCTGAAAGGTTTCGATCTACTATTTTACCTTTTTCTTTCTTTCTTCAGTTTGTTTAAAAAGAATAGGCTTTTTCTAAGAAAAATTGCTTTAGAAAGAAGATTTATATCTTAAACAAAAATATCTTCAAATGAGTTAAGAGACTTAGCATCATACAGCTGTCTTATTAATTAAAATTAATACAACGCTAGCCCACTCTTAAAGTCTAACTAAATCTATCTACTGAGGCTCGTTGGTTCATATCATATGATGTGACGTTAAAATTTTGTTGAATATTTAAATTTTAAATTGTATTTTTATATAAATATAAAAATCTCATAAGTTGCGAAAAATATAAAAATTATCACAATTTTTTAATACAATCTTACCAAAAATAAAGAAAAGTTCATAACAAAATATAATATATATTCACAAAAAAAAAGTTTTAAAAACACAATATTTATTAAAATAAAAAGGTAAAATTGAAAATCAATTTAAATGTATTACTCTTTGATAAAATTGAACATAGTCAATATTGTTTGTAATTATGTTATCATATTCATATTATGTGAATATTTTATCACACCTTTGATATTATCGCAAAAAAGATGTAGTTAATAATGAGTTTTTTTTTTTTTTTATAAAATATAAACTTGTGGGATAATTGTGAAATTCCAAATCAATTTTTTTTAAAATATTTAAAATTTCATCTCATAATTTAAAATTATAAGATGAAATCACATATTCAAATGGTTACTCATATAATTAATAGATAAATTTCTTTTTGTATTGTGGTAGGAGTTACTTCCTCGGTTTTGAAATAAATGATTTTTTAGACTGTGATGTATTCTTTTAAGAAAGTTCACTAAAACATTAATCAAAAGTAAATTAGTCAATATTGATTCATTTGCTTCTTTTCAGTTTTTTCTTCATTTTAGCTAATCAATCTTCACTCATCAAAGAGAATAGTACTTTTGTTTAGAAAACAATTAAGCTATTTGAAACATAAAAAAATCATTTAATTTTATATTGAAATATAAAGAGCATTTGTTTGTTTCCATTTATATTTTAATGAAGAGAATTGTCTGATATTTCCACTTATTAAAGTCTGATTTGATCGGAATACTTTTTTCTTTGAATGTACCCGAATATCACCTTTATTTAAAAAAAGAAAAGAAAAATGCTAATAAAATAAAAAGGGCACGTTACGCATGAGCGTTTGCAGGCACTAGACGCATTCTTTTGCCCATATTGTTTGTATTTATGTGCTACATAAAGTTGGAATATTTGTTGAGTAATATTAATTTCACTTTCATCAACTAGTAATAAGTTAATACTATAATATTGGTGGCATGTGCCTCCAATTTTGTATTGGACGGGGTTAATTTAATTATTAAACTATTTTCAAATCTCGATCTACTCTTGTTAATTGTAAAGCTAAGTGTGATCGATTCATTCATATATACTTTGATTAATTAAATAGTGAATTATTAATTACTGTGTCTAGGTTCATTGCCTCAATATGTAAAAATATCTATAGAAATTCACGCACTGTTGAATTTATGTATATAATGTTTTTCGGCTTAGGATGTTCAACTAATCATCCTTTCAACGCAGTCAAATATTTTATTGCTCCATATATGAACATAATTTTACAAGAATTATATTTATCATACTTTTGTATTCGTGCTCTTTCTTTTTTTTTCGGAGGTTAACTGTGTTGGTGTTGGCACAACTTTTAACTTAACGTCGTGCTTCATGAATTTAAGGAAAATTCCAAAACGTGCCAGCTTTCATATATATTTACATCTCTCTCGTGAAATCCCATGAAAATAATCGTACAAGCAAAGTGGTCTACTTGTCAATCCAAATACTGTTACATTTGGATGGATGCACAATGTATATAGTTATATATATTTTATAAAATGATAGAATGAACGTTCATTTTGATAGGATATGTTTGAATCAGTTTGTGCGCATAGTCAATACAAGTACCAGTCAATTTTAGCAGAAAAAACTTGGATTAGTGGGAAGACATCATCAACGAGATAGGAGTATTTCTTATTACGATCAACTTTTAAATTTTAATCACCAAAATTTGCATGAAAAGCATTTATTTAATTTATTGAAACAAACATAGTGGCTTGATGGTCAAATTGAATTGTAGTAGTTATTTTTGTGTTTTGAAATAGTAATAAGAATAACAGCTATTATGTCTTGTTAGTATTACAAGCTGTTAAAAAAAACTCATATTATCAATTAAATGAGATGTGAACGTGCAATAGTGTATTTTTTGTCTGCAACTATATGGAATAATTATATATATATTGATAATAGTAAAATAATTAAAATTTCATATTTGCACACATAAAAAATTAAATGTAAATATAATTGATAATATTTGTAAATAGTTGGGCGTTATAACTTATACGGTGATGTCCTTCGGGATGACTCAGTTGGTTTGGAGGGTGGTTATTCACACGAATGACCCGGGATCGATCCTCTCTCAATGCCTTCTGAGTCGAGCCTGTCGCATAAGATTTGCCTAGTGCGGTTTACATCCCCGGTATGATTTGCAGGTTATTACACAGTAGGGGGTTTATCCAATGGATACAAAATACTCACCACAGAGTGCTCACCCGAAGGACAGAGGCTGTGGCAAAGGTTATAGCGATTACGGATTATCCTCGATTCCAAAAAAAATAAAATTATACGGTGACACAACAAGTCAGTAATCCCAATTCCCAAGTCGAATAATGAATGTAGGGGAATAAGAGCATTTCACGCTACATCTATCCTTTTAAAGTTGTGTCATTAAAAACAAGAATCAATATAAATAAAAATTTATTGAATGAACAGATTCTGACAGAATGTTAGCAGGATATATTTATTCATTTAATTGTAACTTTAAATAGATTATTTTTTTTTGTTTTAAATAAATTAAATTTATTTTTTATTACCAGAGATTGAATTTATGATTAGACATAAATATTTTGAAAGCACGAATCTAGGGGTGTAAAAATTGAATTGATCGATAAATTGAACCGTTAAAGACCAAAATTGATAACAAATATTTTATTGGTTTGATTATCAGTTTAGCATATTTAAAAATCGAAAATCGATAAATCGAACCGATAATATTTAAAATCAAACTGACCGATACACAGCCACAACACATAACTTATGTAATATTGTATATTTGTATTGCGAAAACAACACAATATTTGATTTGAGGGTGAGGGTGAGGGTGAGGGTAGAAATAAGTCATATACTAGTATTTTGCAGTATGACAGCCAAAGGAAAGAGGGTAGTGGAGGTATTAATAAGATGTGGACATTACTAGTTACTACTGCATGCTTCATGCTTCTTAAACGAGACCAGCCTTTTCCAATTCTAATTATTGACAAGGGGTCGTTTGGTAACTCTATTTCTATTAGTAACGTATAAGTTAGGTAGAAATTAATTGTTTATTATCTTATACATGTATTAGTTGTGCTGATTTCTAAATTGTCAATCAAACATTATATTAGTTTTATGGGAAAAGGGTCTGAAATATATTCGAATTTTGATAGAAATTGCAGTAACGATACCAAACTTTGAAAATGACCTTTTACCCTTCTACACTATTTAATAGTGAATTTAAAGTTATATATGCTCACGTGGACATCATAAATATTGCGTAATTATAAATAATAGCGTGTCCACATGGGCACATATATACATTTTAAATACACTATTAAATAGTGCAGGGGGTAAAAGGTCCTCCATAAAGTTTGGTATCGTAACAACAATTTCGGCCAAAGTTGAAGTATTTTTCAGATCTTTTTCCCTAGTTTTATACATGAATAACTTATTTTTTTTTATCTCCTATCAAAAATCGTAATAGTTGTATGAAAAATAAAACATAAATATTTTGTTTCATATCAAACTACCAAACAATCACTTAGAGATGAACTGTCACGACCCAGACCGCCGTGATTGGCACCCACACTAACCCTCCGATGGGAGAACCATTACTACAACCCAACTAAGCAAACTAACCCAAAATCTAACATTTAAAGATACGTAAGCAGGTTTAAATGCAGAAATTATATAGATTTCTCATAAACTCCAAAGGTTTAAATAAATAACTAACCAAACTAATGCGAAAGTTTAACCCCTAGAACCTGAAAGTCAATGTACCAAAACATCTAAAGTGCAACAAGTCTAAGAAAAAGGGGTACAACCCCAACTAACATAAGAAATATCTAAATAGTCTAAGTCCGAAAAAAATGGACTAAACAATAGGAAGGACTCCATGGCAGCCTGAAAGAACTGG